AAAAATCCATGGATATTCTCTATAATATCAATTTCAAGATAATGTGGTTCTGAAATCATGCAAATTCCCAGAGAAATTTTGGTGATGAAAAGAGATTTATTTTGAGAGGTTGCATGATTCATTCCTGTGAGCATTTCACTGCTACATTCATAGTCCATACTGCTATTATGATGCAAAGAAAATCTACATGAAGAACAAATATTTATAGCATATAATTTTAAATATATACAAGACAAAAGTGGTAGTTCTTACCATTTTTAAAATAATAATATTGTTCACCTGTAAAATCTAATTTCCTGATAGTTTCTGGTTCTGTTTTGTAATATAATTTATTTACAATAAACCAAATTGAGTAAGTTTGATAATACGGTACAGACATCCCAGCAAGACTGAACTGCTATGGCCCCTGGAAAACAAAAAGAAAAGTGGAAATGAATAATGATCAACAGTAAAAATAATAGTAATAAATATAAATAAATCAACAATCAAGGAAAATGAGAATTAAGATAACAATGACAGCAAATAAAATCAGAAATAAAATGAGAGAGTTAAAGTGGACTTAGAAGCCTTGAGACAGATGGGAGTAGAGCCGCGGCCTTGTTCCCAGCATTAGTCAAGGGGGATTCATGGCTTCCCTAAATTTTAACAATAAAAGAATATAATCATTTAATTGCACAGTTACTCAGTAGTTTGTTCTATGTCCTTACTAGCTCCATATCAGTCCTTATTCCATGACAATAAGTGAAGCCCCAGTCCGGGGCAGCCCGGTTTTACCCCGCCATTTCCCGTGCCCGAGCCCGGTTTTACCAACCCCCTAAGAAGATTTTGTCACGAGCACAATATCTATGCTACTTCACGCCTCAGTCGTTTTCAGCTTGACAGGGTTGTTGCAACTAGTATTAAAAAGGTATAAAACGTATAATGTCATTATTATAATTCATTCATGCAACATTTGCCACCCTAGCTGGCAGCTGGCTTGAGACCAACCCTCTTACTTTTGCATTATGTTTGGCAGGGTTAAGGGATTATCCAGGCTTAATGGGTTTTTGGGTTTAATTGTACTTCAATTGGATTTGTCAACTGTTTGTTAGCATGTGATACAATCATTCAAATCATATGGTATTAATCCAAACATTTTTGTTACTAATATATATAGGTTGGGCCTACATATGGCCGAAAATTAATGACTGGTTTTTTGGCATCTCAATCTTTTAGATGCTCTCAAATTCGTGTTGGAGAGTCATTAAAGTGTGTTCATCCTAATTATCATGTGCAGCGTCAGCGGTCCACTGCTAGACAGATGAATCCAGTTCCTTATTATGCTTCCTATTTCGGGGAAAAATTACATATTGACCAGAACGAAAAACTTGCTATGTTTGGCTTAACTCACGTCTGTGCTATTGACGGATTCAGTGGTAGAATTGTTGGGTTTTCACTTATGCCTCAAAAGAATAACATAGTGGTGTATGAACAATTGTACAAGTAAGTAATTTTACATAGTAGTTCATAATTAAGATTTTGCAGGAGTGTAATTAATAATTATGGCCTTTGGGATCAAATAAGAGTAGATTGCGGTAGAGAATGGTACCTAATGCTTTTCATCAATCAAATGTTTGCTCACTTAAGGACCAGCACTACAAAAGAACCACACCTCCAATCTTCTTCAAAATTGGTTAGTGGTTAAATGACATACACAACCATACTCAAAGCCTAGTGATAAAGATAATCATCTTTATTCACAGACAGTATAATTACATTTAAATTCATTTTTAGAATCACACAATAGAAAGAATATGGGTGGAAGTGAATTCTCGAGTAAACTATCCTATTAAGCAGGCTTTGATGGATTTAGTAGAAAGTGATCTAATAAATACAGAAGATCCCATTCACAAATATTGCATTTCTTGGTTCATTATTCAAGTGGCTAGTATAGGCACATCAATTTTTGTGAATTCATGGAATGAACATCCAATTCCAGGTTAATTATTGACTATTCTGTATCTTATCAATTATTGGTATTTTTCTTTAGGACATAAGAATGGCATTATACGAAGAGGTGTTCCAAATGTTTTAATGAAGCAGAGCAGTAATGCTAAAAGAATTAATCCAAATTTACTTCCAAGCTCAAGCCAAGCAGTACGAATTTATACTTCAAGTGGAGGCGTACTAACAGAGCCATATCAGTTTGGCATTGACCCTATTGCTCACAGTGTTGAAAAGAAGTCAATCAGACACATGTCATTCACACAGAAGTTTCCATCATTTGATAATATATTTCACGAAATCGTAAATGGGAATTCATCACCATTTAAAAATGCACTTATTTTTTTCATTGACATCACTAAACGTCTTTCATTGTCTTAATACTTTTGCTGTTTTATTTCAGTACATGATTTCTTCTTTTATCATCAATGGTACATGTAGCTCATGCTCAAGCGCTCGCTCAGCCTCATGATGCCACGCCTATAATTAGGTTGACCACCACACCCACAATAATAAATCTAGTGATTTTATAGTAAAAATTTAGTAATAATAAGAATTCTATTATTATCATCTATAAAATGTAAATAACAAATAGGCTACACGATACAATAATGAAAGGAATATCATAATGGGTTTGTATTTCTCTCTGCTCTCTTTCCTTAGGCTTAGTCTCAGTTTTCCTCTTATTTCAGCCTGTATAATAATAACACTAATAATATTAAAACATGATAAAATTCATAATCATACTCTCCAACCTCAGAAAGACTCAGTGGTCTCTTAAAAGCACTTCCTGGACTGGACTTTTGTTAGACATTTCAGTCAGTCAGCTAGCTCAAAGGAAATCTCATAGTTCTATGTCCTAACACAGAAAGACTGAAATAGCAGTAAATCCATGATAACACGCACAGTCCACAAGTAGTCTATCTACCTCAGCTCCACACCCACTGGCCCTGCCTATTAATCTATGCCTATACATGCAGCATGATATTCAATTTTCAAATTTTGTTTTTCATTCAAAATGATGAATCATGATAATAACAATGAAAACATAATTATTATATAGTAAGAATAATAAGAACAATATTTGTACAGTTATAAAATGAGAAACTAGCTAAAGAAATGAGAATAATGATAATGTTTTACTATTGAATAATGTGGTACTATTGAATATGGATTGGCCACAATATACACTGACCTATTATGTATCAGGAAAATTTTTTTAAATGAATAATTCTCTTCTAGTCATTTTTTATACTACAGTACAGGGATGTTGGCCAGTAACTTTAAAAAAACAAAAAAAAAGAAAAGAAATAACTTTACAGAAATAAACTATTTTGCATTAACCTCTATACCACTAAGGAGTAAGAAAGTAGCTTTTCTAATCATTCATTTAAAATTTGATGTTACTTTCTTTCTGATCAGCCACATGCATAGAGGATCCTTAGTTATAAGAAACTATGACACTGAGGATTATGACTAATTATGTGAAAATTAAAACTAAATCAAACTATAAGCAAATGTATGCATGAAAGTCTGTTTATTACATCTACATATAAAATAAAGAGTTTTTAGTATTCCCAAAGAATAGTGCATGATGAGCAGTTATTTTGAATCAATTTTAATCAGATATACACATTTTCCTCATTTTCTTTTTCGTGAACACTAGTAGAGTCTAACCAACAGAATAGTGTAGGTGAAAGACATTATACCAGCTACAATGTGTTGTACAACTTACTTTTGTCAGCAGCACTTTCTCTTGCAACAAGTAGATGAGGCTCATCTAATTGTTCATAAACCTGATCATCCCCTATTCTTTCATAAACATTATTTTCATTTCTAACATGATGTAACACTTATACATACATAACAGTAATATTCTCCTCACCCTGTAGCTGTATTCTTCACAGTATTAATCATACCATATCCTGCATTAGGTGTTACATCAATGTCATCAGTTTTACTACTGTTATTGCACAAAAGTTAATGCATACATAAGCTCTATTACTTTATATTATGCATCTTTGATTTTTTCCTACAAATTATTACACAAACTGCACAAATAATGATCAACACCAAAGCAACTATTATAATCAAAACTGAAACTATTGCTGATATCAATGGAACACTCAATGTAGAATCAGTATTAGTAATATTTGTAGTGTTGTCATTCATAATAATACCATTACTGTTATTAACTGAAACTATTGCTGATATCAATGGAACACTCAATGTAGAATCAGTATTAGTAATATTTGTAGTGTCGTCATTCATAATAATACCATTGCTGTTATTAACAAAGACATGATACTGAGGAGTAGCACTAATCACTGCTGAAGGAGACCAACCTAGTGTAACTGAGAGAAGACTATCTCTACTGTAGACCAAGTTTGATGGAGATATAGTTGATGGAGATCCTGTAACTTGAATAAAAAGACATGATTTAATATGAGGATACACGTATAATACTTACCAGTATCATTCCTTATTATCATATTAGTAGATACTAAAGGTGTAGCTTTAATTCTGTCAGTAGTAACAAAACATTTATACAAGCTAGACACTCTCATTCTAAATATTACTGATACTTGTACTTGTACATCATTATTAACTGGTGTTACAGTACGTATCAGATCACTATCAGATACATTAAACTGGTTTCCATTATCAACAGAGCAAGTGACTATTGTTGGTGATCTATTAGTGACATTAAATGATAAACTAAACACTGGAGGATCAGCATCAACTGATGAGAGGAGCTGGAAGGAGGAGCTACTGCCATCAATCATTGGATATTCTGTATAATGAGAAGATTGAATAAATGTATTCTAATGTTTTAAACTCACCATCATTTCTAATAAAATCGTTATTACCATAAGCAGCAACATACAGTGTCTGATCAATTCCTTCTTCATTTGGTATAACGCAACTGTATAGTCCTTGAATGCTTTCTATTCCTCCATTTCTTAACAAACCAATTTGACCAGTAGCAGTGTTGTTAGCAAACAGAGGACTAGGATTGTCGTTACCATCAGTAGAACCAGATG